AGATCTTACGCAGCTCGAAGACGTCCTCCAGCAGCTCCTTCAGCTCCTTCAGCATCGCGGTGCTGCTGCTGGCGGCGACGGCGTAGACCAGCAACCAGCAGGTCACGCCGTCATCGCCGAACTTGAAGTACAACGCCTCGTCGACCTGGCTCTTCGTCCAGTCGGCGCCCAGCAGAACGGCGTCAAGGGCCCTATACCATAGCAGCGGCGACTGCTTCAGCCCGTAGAGGCTCTTCAGCAGCTTGCACATCCGGCCGGTCCCGTTGTTGTAGTAGTCCGGCTGGTACATGTACAGCACCCGGTCGGGGCTTGCTCTGCAGGAAGGCGTTCTTCATGTCGAGCTGCATCCTTTTGAGGTCACGGATGGCGACGATGCTGAGAAAGATCCTCAGCGTGACGTAGCTCCCGACCGGCGCGTACGTCTCGTCGTAGCCGGCGCCATACACATGTGTGAAGCCCTTCACGACCAGCCTCGCCTCTCACGTTCAACGGTGTCGTCGATGTGGTACTTGGTTATCAGCACCCACCGGTTCTTCATGATGTTGACACCAGCGCGAGCGTTCGACCAGCTCCAATGTGTCGTTCGAGATGAGGCTCCGGATCTCCCCGTCCATGGTGGCCTTCAACCGCTTCGCCCTTCCAGCTCGCCAACGCCTCCTTCACCATCATTGTGGCGATCTCCAGCGGTGCTCGGGTTCGGCGTGCATGTCGGGGTCGAGCTCCGGAAGGTCGACGTCCGCGTCCGCGTCGTTGTGCAGCGTGGTGAAGGTGGTCGGCGGCAGGCACACATGGTAGGTCAGCCGCTCTGGCGGCCCCCGATGTCAACCTGAACGTCACTGTTCAGGCTTCTCGATGGTGACCTCCACCACGTCACTGTCGGGTAGACTACTCGCCCCGCCGACTGCTCCCCTTCATCGTCGCCGGCTTCACCGTCCTCAGCAGCCTGCTGCTCCAAGCTCGGCTGCTTCTCCCGTGTCATCGGCTCCCCTGCCGACTGCCCGGTCGCCAACGGATCCCAGTCGGCGACACGGCAGGCTGCTCTCCTGTCGGCGGCTTCCCTCCCACGCCAACCTGCTTGACGTCACGTCGGCCACCGGCGATGCCACCAGCCGGCGCCATAGGCGACGCCCCACTGCTCCCCTCATCGCCGGAGGCCGACGCCCGGCATCAGCCCATGCAGGGCGGCTATGAGGGGTGGGGAGACAGGAGGAGGGGGAAGGGAAAGGACGTCCTCGGCGTCCTCATCAGCGGGATCTCCGACCTCGGCGAGTAGAGGAAGAGTCACCGTCGAGGTTTCTGTCGGCGGGTTTACCTGCGTTCGCCCCCGACGCCGGCCCGTGCTCGTCGGTCCACACCTCCAGCGACATGGTCTCGTAAAACACAACGTCCGACGTGGTAACCACCCTGTTGGCGGTGAGATCAAGGACCTCCCAAACCTTGCTCTCCCCCGACACGCCAAGATGAAGTCCCCACCGGGCCTTCGGCGCCAGCTTGCCACCACGCTGCTGCTCGGGGACCAGGAACTGCGCCATGCAGCCCCACACGAGTGCCAGCGTCAAGTTGGGCTTCTTGCCGGTCAGCAGCTAGTACGGCGTCGTCCCCGGCGACAGGGTCGACCTCTCCAAGCAGTTGCGCACTCAGACCGCCTGCCGCAGGGCGAGTTGCCACCAATGGTGCCGCACGCCCATGTGCAGCAGCATCGTCCTCACCGACTCGACCACCGTCCTCATCTCCCGCTCGGACATGCCGTTCTGCTGCGGTGTGTACGGGCAGGTCATGTCGTGGACGATGCCTTGCTGTCCACGAAGTCGGTGAACTGCTTCCCGAGGAACTCCCCTCCGCGGTCAGAGCGCAGCATTAGAACCGACTTCTTCGTCTGCCGCTCGGCCCCACCAGTAGCCACTTCTCGAACTCCCACAGCACGTTAGACTTCTTGGCGACTGGCCTCACCTACACGTAGCGGGTCTCGCGGTTTCTTCAGCAGCAAGAAGTAGAGGCTGCCATCTTTGGCGTCCACTCGGAACGGCCCACACTGATCGATGTGCATCTCGTCGAGACAGAACGTCCCCCGCCGCCGAGGACGAGAAGCATCTCGTCCCGTCGTCTTGCAGTCGCACACCGCTTTCTTGCAGCTGGCTGGCTGACATCAGGTTTGACTGCACACCCGGAACCTAGAGCACACGTCGGGGATGAGCACCTGCTTCCCAGCCTCTCCCTGCAAGGCGACGATGCCCCGGCTCTGGACGTCCTGTAGCGCCCCATTGAACCCGCGCACGTGCTTGACGTCGCCGCTCGGCCCCAAGTCGACGAAGCATCCTTCGTCCCCATCAGGTGGTGCGAGCAGCCGGTGTCGAGCAGGACCACCGCCGGGTTCGCATGCACGGCTGCCGCCACCGCCTGGAAGTCCTCGCCGGCCTCCTGCGCCAGCAAGACCGGTCGGCTCCACGACGCCGACCAGCGAGCACGACGCCTCCCCGCCGCCTCGCCCCTTGCCGCCAGAGGAAGAGCCGGCGTCCTTCGCCGACGTCGACTTGGTCGACTGCTTCTGTTTGCGCGGCTTACTCTCCCGACGGTGGGCGACGACCAGCCGACCTCCCTCGGCCTCCCTGGCATCGTCGTCGTCGGAGTCGTCGTGGTCGGGGCACTCGAAGAGAGAGGTGGTCGGGGGTCGCCGCACAGCAAGCACTCCCGCCGTCGACCTCCTCCTCCACGACCGCCATCCTTGGCCGATTTCGTCCGGTCGGCGTCCTTCGCCGGCCTCCCACCTCCGCTACCGCCGTCACTAGGCTTGCCGCGTGACATCCTTGCTTCGTCCGGGCGACATAGTTCGCCTGCGACAGGAGCTCCGTGGACCTCTCGACCTCCTGCATCGCCCCATCCCTAAGGATGTACGAGGTCAGCGTGTCCTCGTTGAGCGACTCCCGCGTATCCGGCACCACCATCAGTCGGCGCATCAGGTTGTAGCCACTCTGGAGCCCCTTGACAACGTGCGTGATGTACAACGCCGTCGAGTACTCGACGCCGGCCATCCGCATGTTGGCAAGCAGCTGCCGAGCTCGGTTGCAGTATTCGGTCTCCGTCTCCTGCTCGCGCATCCTCAGATGCGTCAGCTGCTCTTCCAGTTGGCCGACACGTGATGAATCGCCACGCCTGGTGGCCACCGTCCAGGTGACTCCGGCACGACTTCAAGGCGATCTGCACCACCCGTGAGCAGCACTGGGGAGATGACCGTGAAGGTCAGCAGTTGAACGGCGCGAAACTCCGCATGCAGCTCGGCGTTGTTCTCCGGCGGCGTCTCCACAGAGCCGTCGGCGAAGCACATCAGGTCGGCCGTCTCAAGCTGGGGCTCGATGGACTCGTTCCACGTGATGAGGTCGTGATGACTGACCAGCATCACAGTAAAGGCGATCTTGTCCGGCGTGAATTTGAAGTAGTCAGAAGTCGGCGCTATCCCGCCCACCGTCACGTGAGTCGCCGATGCCGGCGTCACGCTACTTCTACTTCGACGTCCAATGACGTCGCCTTGTGAGGAGCCTGTAGCCGCCGACAACTCCAGCCCTCGCGCCTGAACCCTCTCTGCCTCGACGTGCCTCCCGCACTGCTGCCGACTTGATCACCGCCGTCAACGTCCTCATCGACGCCGACTTCGTTGCGCACACGGTCGAGGAGAAGCAGGTCGGAAAGGGTGCTCCGTCGCCCACTTTGAACGGATGCCCAGCTCGACGACCTCCAAGGGGAGGGCGTCCCGAACTCGCTAGCCTCAAGGCGTCTCCTCGCATCAGCTAGTCGTGACACCAGACTATCTTCTACCGTGCCGAGTACCACCAGGACGGGCGTCATAGTCGCACGAGCTACCGGCCTACAAACGACTTAGTAGGTGCAAAAGTCGGCTACTACTCTGAAGGTATATGCGGGGCCGTCCACGCTCACCGCACCATGCGGAGATAAGCTACACAATGGGAGCTAGGCTATGGGAAAGGTACGGGCGTGTGGGTGATCGTAGCGTTCCTTGCGTGTTTTGCAAGAGTTTCACTAGCAAAAAATCACAACAATGGTAACAACAAAGTTGGCAACAATGACTACATCAGACGCTAGCATGCAAGCAGGTCGACCTCCAGCGCAGCATGGTCGACCGCGTTCCAGCGCTGCAAAGTCTGCACCGCTCCAGCACTGCAGAAGCGTGGCTTGCCAACATTGCAAGTCGACAGCGTGCCAACGCTGCAGCAAGGCGGCTGTACAGTGTTCCACCCGCATGACAGCAGTGCACCCACTTCACAGGTGCTCGCAGCCAGTTGGCGTGCTGTGCCCCATCACGTGCACAACGCAGACGCCAAGCCGACCATGTGCCAACGACTGTGCCTGATCAGCCACGTCGACCTCGGGATACCACCTTCGAGGGTCGGCTTCGCCAGAACCACCTGGGCGACTGTCACGCACCTCCGCAGAACCCGGTTGCCCGGGTAACTTCGTCGACTGGGCAACCACGCCGACCAAGTGCTGATCTTCGTGCCCGTCGACCACCCAGGTCGACGACCACCTTCTGCCAGCTTCACGAAGTCGGCTACTCCCCAAGGTCGATTACCTCTGGTCGGCCAGGTCTGCTGGTCGCCTGCGCGACTGCACCCAGCCGGCTTCCCCAGGTCGGCGCCACCAAGTCGGCGCCCTCCAAGTCGGCGCCCCTCCCAGGTTGGCGCCCCTCCTAAGGTCGGCGCCCCTCCCGGGTCGGCGCCCCTCCCAGGCCGGCGCCCCTCCCAGGTCGGCGTCTTTGCAGTGGCCCCGGTGCAGGTCGACTAACCATGTCGACCTGTGCGCCCAAGTGGGCGTCGCCCTATGCAGCAGGTCGGCTGCACCTCTGCACACCCGACGGCGAGGTCAGCTCCGCCCAAGCGAGGACGGGGCCAGCACACATTTCTCGTTGACACATGACCCAGTACCTCCTCGCCACTCGCCTCCTTGACTGCTTCTAATCCGCTCGTGATCACTTTCTCACCATTGACCCCATGACTCTCACTATTGATCTCTTCGCGGAGAAGCTCCTTGGGTTGAGAGTCTTACCCGCTCACTTGCTGCCCGCTAGTAGTAATGTCCTCCCCCTTTTCTTTGACGGTTGTGCCCCATCCTTTCTTGTCTCCTTTGTGGCCTCGGCCTCGTTTGCTATGGCAACGGAGGTGCAGTAGCTGCCTCTGGTCACAAGGGGGGCAAGAAGGGTGGTAAGAAAGGAGGTGGTGATGGTGGCGGTGGTGGTGGGGGTGGTGATGGAGGAGGTGGAGGGAGTGGAGGTGGTGGCGGAGGCGGTGGTGGTACCGGCGGTATTGGAGGAGATACTGGCTTCGGAGGTGTAGCGTCACAGCATCAGCAGCCACAGCAGCAGCTGCCACAGCAGCAGCAGCCTCAACAGCAGCAGCAGTTCCTGCCGTGGGGAGCGCAGCAGTAGTAGGGGGCTCGGGTGGACCAGGGAGCACTGCCCGCAGCAGTGGCCCACTCAGCTAGACAACGCGTGGTCGCCCTAGTCCCTGGCAGTACCCAGTTCAGACTGGGTTGCGTCGAGGAGGCCCTTGTGCCGCTTACACCCTCCGGGTCAGTGCTTTGCGCAGCTCTTGGACCGCTACCTCGCTGTACGGCCTTGGTGACCCTGCTCCGGACTGGGCCCCGCTGGCTCGTACACTTGGTCAGTCGTTGTTTGACATGTCTGCCGTAGAGTTGTATGCTGCCTTGCGATATGCCCTTGTGATGTGATACTGATGACTCTAGCGTTTAGACTCTGGTTATTACTCTTGCTTTCTAGCCTAGGTGCTTCTGAGGGCCCTTGTCCAACGGCCGCGAAGTATATCTCGAGTGCAGCGATGAATCGACGGACCTACCGTCGCTGCTCCAATTGCTGCGGCTCCTGATTGGTTCTCGAGTAATTGTGCCAGTCGCTGGAGCTCGTTACGAGTTTCCTCCTGCTATGTGCGATCGCTTGCACGAAAGAATGGAGTTGCAAGCCACAACATCGTCAAAACACTCTTTCGCCGTCTCCACCTGGCGAAAGTACTCCCGCTCGGCCTGCGGGAGGAGGATATTGATAGCAATGCACGCAGCAGCGTCGCACGCCTCTCAGCTCCTGCGCTCTTGGTGGGCCGCACAGTAGTCGTCCTTCTGCGCCGGCGTAGCCGAGAGCTCACCCGAAACGTGGACGTACTAGGGGGGTGTCATACTGAAGCTTTCTCCGCAAATATAGCTTGACTTCGAGCAGCTACCCAGCGAAGTCGATCCCACGTCCCTCCGCATTGAAGCGCAGGACGGAGGCACTCGCCATAACAACAGATAGCAGGGGCACAGCTGCAGCAGGAGGAGACAACCACAGGAGGAGGAGGAGAGAGCAACACGAAACTCTAAACACAGAGGCAGGCACGGCAGTGGGTGCAACTGCAGGTGCACGCCAGATACTAGTGACAGTGACACTGGCGCGGATAGTCGTGGGCGGCAGCGAGCTGCGCAGGGCAGCGCGGGCGACGACGCGGCGGGGGGGGGCGCTAGGGGCGCGACGGGGGCGCGCTAGGGGTGTGACGGGGGCACGCTAGGAGGGCACAACTGGGGGCGCTCTAGGGGCGCGATGGGGGTACTCTAGGTTGGGGGGGGCGCTAGGGGATGTACTAGGGTAGCTAGGGTAGAAGGGGCGGAAGCGGTTGACCAAACCTACTCGATGATTCCATGTTAGAATGAGAGAAAGATAAACTAGCACGAGGAGGTACAAACATATATTCAAAACCTGTACTCTTTATAATCCACCTCTACCTAGCCCATAAGTTGTCATGCAAATATATAGACGTGTAATTCGACGGCGAGTACAGTGGCGGCAGGTGCAGCTGCGGCAGGTTCAGCGGCGGCAGATGCAGCGGCGACAGGTGCAGCGGTGGTATGTGCAGAGGCGGCAGGTGCAGGAAGAGGCGCAAGACGAGATGGGGAGAGAGCGAGGGTGAGGAGGAGGAGGGCGCGACAAGCAGGGAGAGGCGCGCAGGTGTAGGTTAGGCTGTGATGGCGCGGCTGATCGCGTCGGCAGTTAATCTGGCCTGTCGGGGACGAACCGACGCACAAAATTAACAAACCCTAAAATACTTTGCAGCTCCGTGTTGTTCATCGGAGGATGTCATGCTTGTACTGTATCCAACTTCTTCGGTTCAATTTCGGCTCCAGCCACCCAAATGAGGCGACCTAAAAATTTTAAGCAGTCCTGTAAAAACTTGCACTTGAAACCCTTCGTCTGTAAGCGATGCTCGTCTAAAATTCTATACACAACGAGGATGCTGTCCAAATAAACAATCACGCACTTGTCTAACAGCGGGCGGAATGCCTCGTTCATGGTGTTTTGAAAAGTAGCAGGCACATTGGTCAGGCCGAAAGGCATTACCGTGTGTACGCGGATGACCCGTAACTAGTTCTAATAGAAGTTTTGACGCAGTTAGTCGGTTCGACTCGGATTTGGTGGTAGCCTCCTAGTAAGTCAATATTGGAAAATACTCTAGCTATTTGCAGTTGATTGATCTGTTCGTCGGCGCGAGGGATGGGATATCGCGACTTGACTGTAACCCTGTTTCGCTGCTCAGTAATCTATGCACATGCGAAACCCTACGCCCTTTTTAGGTGTGAACAGTATCGTGCGGCGAACGTTGACGAACTTGGTCTTCTTATTTCTTTCTCGAGCATGTAATCTAACTGCTTCCTCCGTTCCTCTAACTCTGGCTGTGTCAGGCGAAGCTGTCGCTGTACGGTTGGCTATGCCCCTGGTTCTAACTTCATCCTTTGTGCGGTCGCTGAGGTAGCAGTCCCTCGGTAGGTGTCGTCGGGGAAGATCGATGTGAACCGTTTCAGTAATTCTCCTAATTCCGGCGGTACGGCTGCCAATCGTTTCTAAAAATCGCCTCAGCTTCTCCTATTTTCTTGATATCGACAGCGTACACGTCAGCTCCCGATGTGACAACCCGTTTCATTGTGATAGCATTGACGTGGATAGTTTAAGGCTCCGGCAACTGCCCGCGATGTAGCGAGACCCAGTTACCCCTGCTTCGCACAGTGCAGCTGCCTGTCGTGCAGTCAATTTGCGGGTTGAGCATCGCAGCCAATCACGTTCGAGTAAAATGCCGGTCCCGTCCAATGTTGTTGCGACCATTTCGTGTCATGCGTCGATCTCAGGTATAAACTAAAATGTGGATAGCTCCTTCGTCGATAAAAATCTTCACCACTGCTCCCTATATTTTTCCGTGAATCAACACTGGGCAATCTGCCGCTGTACCCTCCTTATTCAGCCGTCGATTGCGTGAATCGGAACTATCACTCGTTGAAATTGAGTGGGGTCGAGCGAGTTGTGAGTCTTTTTAGTAGTGAGCCCGTACTGTACTGACTGCAGGCGTTTCCCTACCTCCCAGACTCTCTTCCCAACTCTGCTCCTCGGCGTATTTGCTCCTCATGGCACTCACTCTTGCGGTGGCCCGGCCTATTGCACGTGAAGCAGCATCCTCAAAATGGTGTGGCATCTGCGTTCATCGCAACGGCGTATACCGTAGCGTGCTCGGTCATACCTCGATTAAGTTGTCCGTAGTGATAGGACCCCGGCCTCGGTCTTCGTAGGATGTAGAATTTCTCGGCGAGGGCGAGGATTTCGTTGAAGTTTGAAATGCCGCGCAGGAGGATCTCTTGCGAGATTTCCGGCTTCAAGCCGCCGACGTAGCGACCCACTCGCTCCGCTTTGTGCATGTAACCGACCTGTTCAGACAATGCAAGAAACCTGCTAGTGTAATCTTGAACCGACCCGAGTTGTCGCCAAGTGCGCAGCTTCTGACGTGTTGAAATTGAAGTCGCGATCGGCTCGAAGCACACCCGTAGCCCTGCACGGTATTGTGCGACTTCGCAGAATGAAGCGCTCCATGAAGCAGCTGGCAAGGAAGGCCTTTCCCCCTTTTGGCAGTGGCTCGTAGTTGCTCGCCACCAGTCCATGGCGGGCCCACGCAGTAGAGAGACGGCGTACCGAATCTTCGCTGCGTCCGACGTCACGTAGTTTTCGTAAAAAAATACGTTCATCGTGAATACCCACGACTGAACCGTCGGACCTCCGCGTTGGCTTGGGTCGAAGTAGGGTGGGCGATGAGGCTTGAGTGGCATCGGTTGCCCGGTCTAGTGATGTGACGGCGGTTTTCCGCGTGGTATATTCATGCCCGGTGCTTCCCTGGTTCGACCATGTCCGACATTTGTTGGGCGGCGCCATCACTGGTCGCGGCTGAGCGCTGTCCCACACTGTCGTGTTGCGATGTTGTGGCAGTGCTTGTAATAATGGTGATGGGTGCTTGAGGTGGGGCTTGTGCTGTTAACCTCTGGAGCGATTCACGTTCCGCCGTCAAAGTCGCAATTTCAATTGCGGATTCGTGAAGTTGACGCGTGACGTCGTCAAGATGCTCCTTAGTCAATCCCTCGAGGGATGTCGGGGCGAGCTCAGTGGGTAGTCTCAGTCGTGGCTGTGTGTGCTTACGAGAGAGCACGCTAACAACGGCACTGGGCGCTGAGGAACATCCCCCCCAGGCCCTCAGATTGGACTCAGGGCACGCTGATCAATCAGTGTTGCCCCCTCCCCAAAAAAAACTATACTGACAGATCAGTGCTGGCTCGAGTCTGTTAACCTGATTTCTCAGTCCTTCCTTTGATTAAATTCTGACGCGTCTGCATGCAACTGAGAAGTAGCTTAGTGGCTAAGCAAACAAATAGTCACAAGTTCGAATCTTATGAACATCTTAGTCTCTGGGCGAAGTATATCTCGTCCGCAATGGGAAATGTACCTCTATGGTCAATGTTTTTTCAAAACAGCAACTATTTTCAGTGTTGCGGGTACAGTAGTATCCTAATTTGTCAGTGTGCATATACAACATAAACTTCAGTCCTCTATATTACTTAATCTGATATTTCAGTGCTAGCACCCGAGCACAATCCTGAAATCAGCAAAATCATGATAAAATGGCCTGATAAGATAGGGCATGATAAAAAAAATGTTGTATGAAGGTGGGAAACGAATGTATGCGTGGTCCACAGAGGAATGTGGCTCTGAATCTCAAGAGTAGGCTAACGGAAGTTATCGACTAGTATGGCAAGAGGTACAAGTAGAGGGAAATTGTGTACCCTATACTATGCAATTAAGTGTAGCCTAGCAAACTAACAAAACATATAAATATTATTTGACACACCCCCATAGGCTAAGTGAGGGGCATCAAAACAAACAAGGGAAACAATGGTCACAAGACCAGCCAAGAAAACCAACAAAACAAAGCTCAGGGTGGATCTCAACATCACCACACAGTCCGACAACATGCAAGAGGCCACAAGGCCAGATCTCAAAGTTCACAAGAATATAGAAATGCAAATACAACAGTGCAAGGATCAAATGACAAAGCTACATCAACCGAGGGCATGCCTCAACAAGCCCTAACTGCACACAGAACCTGTAGTGGTCACCAGGCGCCAAGCCTTTGGTGAAGATGTCTGCAGTGTTGGCCTCTGAGGCCACAAAGTCCAAGCGTGCATGGCCGCGTCGCTGCAACTCTCGCAGAAGAAAGTACCTTTACGTCGATGTGCTTCACTCTGCTCCACAGTCGAGACTCTCGACACGGGGGGATCATGTCAGCGAATAAGGTCAGTGTGGAGCAAGGCCGCTCACCAAGGTCGGTGAGCAGGAAGGTCAACCAGCGAAGCTCCTGCGCAGCCATGGCACCAGCGTAGATCTTTGCCTCTGCACTAGACGAAGCTACAGACGAGGGACCGTCTACACCTCCACGACACAGCACCAGCACCCAGACTGAAGCAGTAACCCTGAGTCGAACGCTGAGTCTCCACGTCGTTGGCGTAGGAAGAGTCGCAGTGACCGGTCAGCACAATTGGGTGAGTCCCTCCAAGCACAAGCCCCATGCCTGATGTAGTCGCCAGGTACTTCGCCACCCTCACAGCAACCGTCCAGTGAACGGGACGGTGTCTCCCAGACGCAACAACAACCGAGAGAGGACGCTGAGGGGAAAGGCGAGGTCCGGATGAGTACAGGTCATCAGGTACATAAGGCAGCCCACAAGCTCTGAGTAGGGACCACTAGGCTCAAAGGGCTCGTCAGGAAAAGGGCCGGTGAGTATGTGGTCTACAGCAGAGGAGTGGGCTGTGTGGTGGAGAACTGAAACCCGAACCGCTGAAGGACCTACTGCACCATGTGTGACTGATGGTGCAAGCGGCTCTGTCCCTGGTGATCTGCAGGCCAAGGTAGCGCTGCAGTTCACCGAGGTCAATGCACGTATGTCTCTTCTGCAGTTCGGACTTCACCTCAGCCAGAGCTGCCCTGTCTGGTGTAGCAAAGACCAAGTCGTCGACGTAGACAAGTATAAAGAAAGGAGTGGAACCTGCGCGAACAAACAACGACGGGTCGGCAGAAGAGGGACGAAACCCAAGGTCACGAAGCATGGAGCGAAGAGTGTCGTGCCACTCATGGGGCGATTGGCGGAGACCGTAGACAAGTTGCCTCAAGCTCCACTGGATCCCAGGTGGGAAAGTGCTGTAAAGCCAGGAGGACGTCGCAGCCAGATCTCCTCGTGTAGGCGGCCCTGGAGAAATGCAGTGGAGAAGTCGAGGGAGTACAGCTCGTAGTCTCGCTTTGCTGCTACGTGAAGTAACACCCGAAGAGTAGTCATCTTAGGGGTCGGGGCGAAGGTCTAGAAGAAGTCTACTCCCTCACGCTGACTGAAACCCTAGCCACGTAGCGCGCCTTGAACACAGGCGGTGATCTAGGTGGCCGCTTCACCTCGAAGAGCCACATGCCACCGACAACGTTCGCCCTGGGAGGGGGAACATCGTCGACGTAACTGCCTGTGGATCTCCAAGACGCCATCTCCGAGTCCATGGCCGCTTTCCACTAGGAGGCCCACGGCCCTGACACTGCCTCACGGTACGTGCAAGGGCGTCGGGGTCTCCCTCAGGGAAAGCAGCATGGCACAGAGAGCGGGAGAAGCGGCCGCCAAAAACTCCAGCTCAAACGACCTGTCCTCTAGGACGTCACAGCCAAGGGCAGACAGAGGACGGGCAGCCACCACGCAGGTGGCGTAGTCAAGATGGCGAGTGGCGGAAAGACACCAACAGCAGCAATAAGACCCAATACAGACGACGGAGAAGCACGAGGGTCGGTGACAAGAGAGGTGAGAATACGTGAGACAATAGGGCGAGCAGCACGGTAGTAGTCAGAGATAGGGGTAGAGGAGACAGGAAGAGCAACGCAGGAGGAGGCAGGAGAACAGACGCATGCGGAGAACGACGACGACTAGAACAAAGGAGGGCAGTGCGGAGGTCTTCAAAGGGAGACGAGGGACGGCACGCGGGGGACAGGGGCGGACGCGGGAGTGCGGGACAACTGGAGGAGGAGATTGGGACCGAGGAGGAGAGTCTACAGCAGGTGACGCGTCCGGAGGAGGAAACGTAGGGCCGAAGGCAGGGGGAGACTAAGTAGAGGAGGGAAGACCAAGGGCCCGAAGGCCACTCACGGGTGGGAACAATTGCTGCAAAAGGGGCGGTTGCGGCGGCTTCTGCTGCTGCTGCTGCTGCTCCTGCAGGTCCAACTGTTGCAGCTCCTGCCTCTCCTGCTCCAACTGCTCCTACTCCTCACGCTCACGCCGGCGAGCCACCTGGAGACGCGGTGTCGTGGCGGTTGGGAGGCGCAGTAGTAGTGCTTCCAGCTCCAGTCTCCTCAGAACTAGCACCTCCAGTGCCAGCACCTCCAGAGGTAGCACCACCAGTGCCACCACCTCTCCAGCTCCACCACCCCATAACTAACACCACCAGTGCCAGCACCTCCAGCTCCAGCACCCCCCGAACTAGCACCTCCAGTGCCAGCACCTCCAGCTCCACCCCCCGAACTAGCACCTCCAGGGCCAGTACCTCCAGTTTTCAGCACCCCCCGAACTAGCACCTCCAGTGCCAGCACCTCCAGCTCCAGCACCCCTCGAACGAGCACCCCCTGACCGAGCACCTCCAGTAGCAGCACCTCCAGCTCTAACACCCCTTCAGTCCACAGGAACCTATCGCGGAAGTGTCGTAGGCTGCTAAGGGGACTATGAGGAGGACTGTGGGGAGGGAGGCGCTACTGGACGCGCAACTGAGGGTAGAGGGGTAGCGTGAGACACACCTGACGGGGCAGGACCAGGGGGGGTTGGGGGTACGGAGGAGCGGGAGCAGGAGGAGGAGAGGGGGCGAGGAAGAGGGGAGGAGGGGGAACCGGGAGACCTCGACAGGGGTAGCGAGCGTAGTAGGACACTGACTCGTCAAACTGGGCGTCACGGGAGTCAAGGAAACGGTGGCAGGGCGGGTGGTAAAACGCAAAGTCAGGAGAGTCCACTGGGAAACCAAGGAAGACACACTGGATGGCGCGAGCCGAGAGCTTATCCGCAGAGGTGTGTTGCGGACAAGCGCAAGGCAGCCCCAGACGTGAAAACTCCGATGCAACACCAGGGGACCCGGTCCAAAGACCGGTCGGTGAATCCCCTGGTCGTGAGACATGAGGCCAGAGGTTCAGCTGGTGGGCGGCGTAGCGAACCGCGTAGGGCCACAAAAAATGGGGCGCACGTGCATGGATCATGGAGGTGCGAGCGATCTCCATGACCAAGCCAATGCGGCGCTCAGCAACCCCATTCCGCTGTGGGGACTCCGGTAGCGTCCAGGACTGCGTGATGCCCTGCTCGCCGCAGAACTCGGCAAGGACGTCGGAACGAAACTCAACCCCACAGTCGGAGTGGAGACAATGGACCACTACCACGAGTGCCCTCAGTGGCGAGGAGCCACCGGATTAGCGTAGAAGTCACCTCGGACTTCTTCGCGAGAGGAAACATTTTGGTGTACCTGGAGAAGTCGTCAACTACCACGAGGAAGTAGCGCTCCCGCTTGGGCCCAAGACGAGGGGCTGGGCCCCAGACGTCCAAGTGGAGGGTCTGGAAGGGAGCGGTGGCCGGAGAAAGGGAGGAGGACTAAGGAGTGGCGCGCAGCCGACCCTCGATGCAAGGATGGACGGCGGCGCAGAGACGAACGAGTGAGCGACTCAAAGACCCGTGGGAGAGACTGAGACAAGACGCTAGCTGGCCATACTACGGAGGCGTGGGAGGGATGGGTGGCCAAGACGGTGGTGCCACAAGACTGTCGGGGTGGGAGAGTGCACGACAAGAGCAAGACGCAGCTACCAGACCGGCACAGCAACATGACCGATACAGCAACCTGACTAGACACAGCAACCTGAGGGGACGCAGTAACCGGACCGGACTCTTCTACCTGGGGGACGCAGTGTGCAGAACGAAGAGACCTGAGTGGGCTCTCTGGTGAACGTGGCAAGAAGTACCCCGGTTGAAGCATCCGTACAGATCGCCGTCCTCCCGTGCGCAGGAAAGGTGACAGTGATCCCACGGTCCTAAAGGTATCCAACACCCACCAGTTCCGAGAGAACGAGGGGATGTAGAGAACCAGCGAGGAAACCAGAACGGACAGCCGGGCACGGGAGAGTGGTAGAGCTGTGAGCGACTGCTGGTTCCGAAGTAGGATCAGCCAGGGCAACCGGGACTGGAGCAGAAAGAGGTGTGACAGTGGTGTGGTCGTGGAAGAAGCACTGAGACGTGATTGCGTCCAGCGTGAAGGAGAGCGACGAGACAGCAGTCGTCACGGCTGGACTAGTGACTACACAGGCACCTACACAGAAAGCACAAGTACCGACACTAGCAACAGGCAAAGTGTGAGGATCTAGGATCGAGCTCAGAAAAGAGAGTTTTTATTGAATGCTCCACCTGGGTACAACACGAGGCTATATATAGTCTCGACGCAAGGCAGGTAACCCAGGTGTTATGCGAATGTTCTGAGGGTCGCGAAGCGTCCCGAACAGAACCTTCCCGAACTCGGTAGATAGCAATTCGGTGGCAACCGAAAGGCTTGAGTTCGGTACACGTAACCTGTTCGGTGCTATAACTATAATAACATATAGGAATGCACCCAACCTAGGAAATCAAGCATAAATATGCATGATAAATAAAACCCAAGCTAGTAATAGCATAATAAAGTCCAGGCAAGCTAGCAAAGCCAGCATAAGCCGCCGTACTCTCACACGTCCCCCCCTCAAAGCTGGGTGGCGTGAGATACACCCTGCTTGACAAGATAGTCCTTGAGAGCACGGCATGCGTTGCCCATATCAGCTTCTGCAACCCACTCTCCTCCGTGGGGTCATAACCCTTCCAGCGTATCAGGAACTCGAGGGTCTTCCCGCCGTGGCGCCGATGAGTGAGAACGCGCTCCACTCCGTACTCTCGTTCAGCGTACTCTCGTTCATCCTGTATGAGAACAGGTGGTGGTGGCGGTAGCTGCCGTCCCTGGAACTGTTGGTTGGGGTCCTTGTAGGGCTTCAGTAGCTGAACATGGAAAGCGTTGTGAAGCTTCCACGTAGTAGGTAAGCACAAGCGGAATGCTACTGGTGTCACCCGTGCCTCAACGTGAAAAGGACCATAGAAGCGAGGCCGGAGCTTGGATGGTAGGTGAGACAGGTTCAAGTTGCGCGTGTCGAGAAGCACCTGATCTCCGACTGTTACGGTGTGATCACGTCGCTGGCGATCGGCATACTGCTTCTGGGAGTTCTGCATCGAGGTGAGGCGTCGCTGAGTCTTCTCCCATAGCTGCTCCATGGTGGTCATGAAGTCATGTGCGGCTTGGACGTGTGCCGGTGTGGTGGGCTGCTGTGGTGTAAGTGGTAACCGTCCGTAGCACAGGAAGAAAGGAGATTTCCCTGTGGCCGCATGTGACGCGTTGTTGTAAGCGAACTCTAGGGTCGGTAACTGTTGATCCCAGTGGCTGATGTCGTCTTTGCAAGATGTGCGCAGTAACTGTTCAACCACCTGATTGAGTCGCTCTGTCTGTCCGTCGGTCTGGGGGTGGTATGCTGAAGACATTGCAAGCTTTGTCCCCAACAACCCCATGAGTTCCCTCCATAACTTACTCAGTGAATTTTGGGTCTCTGTCTGAGATGAGTGTAGCGGGGATGCCGTGGATGGTGATGATGCGGTCGAAGAAGAGGCGAGCAGTTGCTTCAGCTATAGCCGTGGCGTTGGTCCGGATGAAGTGACCCATTTTGGAGAACTTGTCGATCACCACGAGTATAGCGTCATGCCCTCGTGAGGTCGAAGGAAGTCCCGAGATGAAGTCGAGGCTAACGAATTGCCATGACTGCTCCGGTACGGGTAGAGGCTGAAGTAACCCTGCTTTTTTTCTGCTTGCTACTCTTCATTCGCTGGCACGTGTCGAATGAGGTGACGAACTGTTGCACGTCTGCTGCCATCCCGGGCCAGTAGTAATACTTCGCTATCCCTGCTAACGTCTTGTTGCTCCCAAAATGTCCCGCTTACTGTACGTCGTGAACTCTTCCAGTAGAATCTGTCGTAGCGGGCGTAGTTCGGTACCCAAATCTTTCCTGTGCCCTTCCTTACAGCTAAGTCTTTCTCCCACTGTAACTGCTTCTGAGTCTGTGCTATAGCGACCTCTGCGTCCACGGAGTACCCATGTTGGAAAAGACCCTTAAGCAGAGGGTTCAACCCATCGAGCTGGATGCCTTCTACATGACCGGGGCGGCTCAACGCGCCTGCTTTGTTGTGTAGCCCGGGCTTGTAGACGATGTCGTAGTGGAAGTGAGTCTCCAGGAAGTCCACCCACCGCACCTGTCGTCGTGAGAGCGTCGGCTGCGACTTTAGGTATTCGAGGCTGCAGTGGTCAGTGTAAACTGTAGTCTTGGCTCCCTCTAGGTAACACCTCCACGCCTTGAAGGCTATGACTATCGCTAAGGCCTCCTTGTCATGAATGGGGTAGTTCAGTTCTGCTCCGTGTAGCTTCTTACAAAGATAGGCGATGGGCTGCAAATCGCGTCCGTGATCCTGCATCAGTACTGCTCTGACTGCGTGGTCACTAGCGTCTGCTTTCACCACGTAGTCTTTGTCTGGATCTGGTAGGATGAGTACTGGTGCTGTGGTCAGTGCTGTCTGTAGCTGCTCCATGGCTTGCTGATGAGGAGTATCCCAATTGTAGGGCGTATCCTTTTTCAGTAGGTTGGTCAGTGGCGCTGCTAGCTTAGCGTACTACAGCACGAACCTGTTGTAGTGGTTGGCGAAGCCTAGGAACTGCTGCAATTCCTTCCGCGGGTCCACGTGTACGCCCTCGGCACTCACCATGTGCCCGAGAAACTGCACCTTCTTCAGTGCGAAGTCGCTCTTCAACAGCTTCACGTATATCTTATCTTTTTTCCGCAGGATCTCGAAGACTTTCCGCATATGCTCCACGTGCTCCTTCATGTTCTTGGAGTAGATGAGAATGTCGTCCAGGTACACCACCACGCACTTGTCCAGCAGGGTCCGTTAGATATGGTTCATCTCCGCCTAGAACGTTGCTGGTGCGTTGCAGAGTCCGAACGGCATCACCAAGTATGCGTAGGAACAGTATCTGGTACGGAACGCCGTCTTGTATCGAGTTGTCCGCCATCTTGATCTGCCAGTAACCCGACCGTAGTCCAGCTTCGAAAGACTGTTGCACCACGCAGTTGGTCCAGTAGGTCGTCTATGCGAGGTATGGGGTATTTGTTTTTAACTGTCTGTTTGTTCAGTGCGCGGTAGTCGATGCACATCCGTAAACTGCCGTCTGGTTTCGGAGTGAAGAGAACTGGTGCACGTAGGGAGAGGTGGATGGGCGGATCAATTGTCTGTCCAGTAGATACTCTATCTGCTTTTTCATGTTTTGTCAGTTTAGTCGGACTAAGGCGGTATGGTGCACGTGAGACGGGTTTCGCACCTGGTTCCTCCACGATCTCGTGCTCGTGGGTTCGCGCTGGAGGTACTCCTGCAGGTAGGTCGTCTGGCATGATGTCTTTGTACTGCTCCAACACCTCCTTCACTGCTGCAGGTAGCTCCGTGTTCGGCTTCTCCTCCTCTGCTGCTAACCAGTGCTAGGTAACCCATGTTACTCTCGATCATCGTCCGTTCAAACCGTGCCAGTGTCGTTTCAGGAACGTCCCCTGTATCAGTCCAGCTTCGCAACTCCACTCGTTTCCCGTTGTTGTAGATGCACGCCTTCCGATTGACCCAATCGATCTCGGGGTTGAACCGCTTCAAGAAATCTCGCCCCAAGATGAAATCTAAACCCTTGATGTTCGTGATCGGCAACGTCGGCTTCCACCTCAGCGCCCCTATGTGCAGCTGCAGTGATGCTTCGCCGTGGATGGGAAGTTTCGTACCGTCCACCATCGTTCCTGTGAACTTGGTCTGCTCCGAAGGTTCTCCAATTTCTCCAACGTCCCGCGGTCACACACTAAGTGGGACGCACCACTGTCCACCAGTGCCTGGAGGCGTCGTCCGTTGCAGATTACCTCGAGCAGTAGTGGTTGTTGCCGCTCCGAGTAGCCGTAGATGGCCTTGCTTATAGAATCATAGGGTACATCGAATATATCATCCCTAGGTCCTGTGCCCGAAGGTGCTGACTCAATATCGGTTTTCACCTTGGTAGGGTTAGGAGGATTTTTCCGAGGCCGATTCAGCTTCTCCTGGGCCTTTGCAGCTGTGTAGGCTTCACCAGTGGGCAATGGGGAGCCTTAACACTGTGCTGCGGGGAGAGAATATTAACTCCTCGGAAACGCACGACCCTTTTCAACGCTCCGGAGTGTTTGTCCAACTTCTCAGGTACTTGAATAATCTCTAAGGGCTTTTTCTTACCCCTCTAAATCTCCCCTGAATTTCTCAAAGGCTTGAAGATCACGAGAAGTAATCTCTTAGTTAAAGTATCTTTATAGGATAACTTTAACGAATCCTTACTTTCGTGGGTGTTCGGCTGGAGTATCCCGTCGGTGCAGAGTCTTGTTTCGTGAGCCTCTATTTGTCTCGGCGATTTCCCATGTTGCCGGCCGGTCGTGACGTTTTAAATTCGCGCCATCATGATCTCCTTTTTTCGCCCGCTCCGAAGTCGTCACGTCGTCGCCTTTTCGCCTTTTCCAGATTTTTCGTGATCGCCAGGTCGATCCGCGGCTACTGGCGATTCCCGTTTTTTTTTTTATTCGGGGTTGCCGCACTGTTGTTGCCCTGCAGCTCCGCTCGTGCCTTCTTTATTTTCCAACACGCCAAGAATCGATGTCCTGCTGCGCTGCAAAATTCGCACTTCTCATATTTTGTCGGCCGCTGCTTCGCGTCGATCTTGTCGATATCCATCGGGTCGGCGGTCGTGGGTGGTGCTGATCGCTCCGTGCCGAATGATCTATTCGACACGTGTCGTCGTGTTTCGGGTTGACCTTGAGTCAACGCATCGAATCTCTCTACCGCACATACCATGTGCGCGGTAGTTGCTGTACTTCGTAGCAATCACCTGTCGGCGGACTTCCATTTTTAGCCCCTCAGTATACGCTTGGAATTTTTCCCTTTGGTCAGGTCGGTAATTCGGTTGAAGAGGCTCTCCATCTGTTGCGTGTACTGTGTTACACGGCCGTACTGTTTGTGCCGATGAATCTGCTGTCGCGCCATCTAGCTCGAATTAATCAATTCGAAACGTTGAATTAAAGCTGCCCGAAACTGCGTCCATGACCCCTCGCCTCGGATCTCATTACTGTTGTAAATCCACTCAAGCGCCGGGCCTCGCAACAGTGTCGCTGCGAGCCGAATCCGCATTGCATCGTGTGTCGGGGTCGTACAGCCAACGCCTCGAAGTAAATTTCGAGGGTCGCAATGAATTGACGGACGTGTCTCTCGTATTCGGGTTGAACGTGTCCGGTAGCCTCGGACGTGCCGCCTCAAGATTCACTGTAGCTGCTGCTGGGTGAAGTGTCGGTGGTCGCCGCCGCTGCTGCTGCTGCTGTTGCTGCTGCATTCGCTGCTGCGTTCGCTGCTGCCGTGGCGGCTGCCGACTGGTTCGCGAGAAGTCCTCTATTCGCTGGAGTGCCGCTCGCGTCTGGTCTAGGTCGGTGCGTAACTCCGTAATTTTTCGTACAGAATTATCACCATTTTCTTCCATTTGGCGATGTCAGATTTATATGACATAGCTACTGTAGGCTATAGTGGGGTAGACCATATGGGGTACAGTTTTCTAGGGTTTGCTTTTGTACCCAACTTTCCCTTAGTCATTCCATTCCTCGTTTCATTTCATGGTATCGAGCAGGTTCCCTAGTGGGAACGATTCCTAGGGCCCACCACCACGAAATTTTTTTTTCCTGCCCGGAGCGCGCTTCGCTCCGGCCCGAGTCGCGCCCTGTGTGCTCTCCCTACCGTCGCGCCCTCGCTAGGGCCCCTCACGGCCCCGTCGCGTCGCCCTTAGCGGCCCTCTCACGGCTCGTCGCGCCGCCCCTACGGCCTTCGCGCCGCCCTTACGGCCCTTCGTGCCGCCCTTACGGCCCGTGCCGCCGCCCCGCCCCTCTACGGCCCCTCGTCGCGCCGTCGCCCCTTACGGCCCCTCGTGCCGCCCCTTACGGCCCCTCGCGCCGTCCCTTCGCCTACGGCCCCTCGCGCGGCCCCTTACGCCCTTTACGGCCCCTCCCGCGGCCCCCTCACGGCCCCCTACGGCTCCGTCGCCCTCCGCGGCCCCGCCACCTGCCTGTGCGGCCCCGCCACCTACCTGTGGCCCCTCCACCTACCAGCGGCCCCGCCACCTACCCGCGGCCCCGCCACCTACCTGTGGCTGGCCCCGCCACCTACCTCCGCCCCCGCCACCTACCAGCGGCCCCGCCACCTACCTGCGGCCCCGCCACCTACTAGCGGCCCCGCCACCTACCTGCGGCCCCCGCCACCTACCTTTGCGGCCCCCGCCGCCTCCTCTCAGCGGCCCCGCCGCCTCCTCCCAGCGGCCCCGGACGCCGCTCTCTCAGCGGCCCCGCCGAGCCGCCCAGCAGCCGAGCCCGCCCAGCAGCCGAGCCGCCCAGAAGCCGAGCCGCCGAGCCGCCCAGCAGCCGAGCCGCCGAGCCGCCCAGCAGCCGAGCCGCCGAGCCGCCCAGCAGCCGAGCCGCCGAGCCGCCCTGCAGCCGAACCACCTGAGCCGCCCTGTCCGGTAAGAGCAGCGCCTCTTTCACAGCACTGCCCTCACCCTACTGTTTGCGCTGCTAGTCTACTGCGGTCATGGCTACCCCTAGTGTCCTCGCTTTTGACGCTGAGGGTCGGGCCATTGACTTTGACGTCTGGATAGATGACCTGCAGCTTTTCTTACAGTGCGACAGAGCAGACGGCCTCTCCCTCTTTGACCTCACTTCTGGTGCCTCCCTGCCCCCGCTGCTGATGCTGACGCCACTGTTCGCTCACAGTGGGCCACGCGCGATGCTGCTGCACGTCTTGCTGTGTGCGTCGCCACCTGCCTACCTCTGAGCGTGCGCACTTTAGCCAGTACAAGAGTGCTCACACCTTGTACGACGCTGTAGTTGCGCGCTACTCCTCCCCTGCCACTGCTGATGCACTGAGCCGCCTCATGCTACCGTACCTCTTCCCTGACCTTGCTGCCTTTCCCAGTCGCTGACCTCATTACGCACCTCCGCACTAGTGACACTCGCTACCGCGCTGCTGCGCTTCCTGCTGAGTTCTGCGCCAAGAACCCCCCCCCATGTACATCACCCTCTACTACATAGTCACCCGGCTCCCTGACTCCCTTCGCGTAGTCAAGGACCACTTCCTCTCAGTTTGCCCCACCACTCTCACCGTTGACTCCTCGAGAAGTCCCTCCTAGCAGCAGAGAAGAGCATAGTAGCTGTAGGAGCCTCTCGTGGTGACCCTCGCACCCCCATCTTTGAGGGGTGTTCCCCCTCCCCCCTTTTGCCCTCTGTTGCCTCTGCTGCTGCGGCCGACCTCGTTGGGCTTGGTCGGTCGGTGCAGCGTCTACCCCTAGCGGGAGACGCCGCCCTGGCAAGGCAAGGGGGGCAGGGGCACTGGAGGAGCTAGCGGGGGCGGTGGGAGGCGGCGGTGGAGGCAGTGGAGGGGGGGGGGGCTGGGGTGGCGGTGGGGGTGGTGGTGGGGGTGGAGGTGTCGGTGGCGGCGGTGGGCGGAGGCGGCGGCGGCGGGCGGCGGTGGCGGTGGGAGCGGAGGTGGCGCGGTGGAGGAGGCGGCGGCGGAGGAGGGTGGAGCTGGTCAGGGTGGCGCTGCGCAGAGGGTCGGCTCCGGTGGTGGTCAGCGCCAGCAGCAGCAGCAGCAGCAGCAGCGCACTCGTGACATCCCCCCCCTCAGCAGCTCCGTGAGTGGTACGCTGCACGCCAGCGGGGTGGGGGTACTGTCCGTGCACCTACGTCCTCCGCACCGGCGACCGCGCGGGTGACCAGTGCGGGGGTGCGCACTCCACCCAGCGCTGCTTGGCCGCCTGACGGACGCTTGGCGTCACCAGTTCCCTGAGGCCACTGAGATCCCCCGCTGGGGGGCTGTGAGCTGTCTAGGGCGGGTGTCGCTGTCTTTGACCTTGACTTTGATGCTATTCTGCTGCCATGTATACTGTGACTATTAGTGATGAGGGTGACTGTTACCGGTGTTTTCCGCCCGACCGGGCATTTAGACTGCTGCTCTAGGTACTGGTGAGGCTGCTGCTCTAGGTGCTAGCGAGGCTGCTGCTCTAGGTGCGTCTGCTCCCTCAGGTGCTGGTGCGTCTGCTCTCTCAGGTTCTGCGTCGGCTTCGGCCTCCCACACCTTCACCCTTGACTCGGGGGCTTCTCGCTCCTTCTTTCGAGACCGCACCACACTCACGCCGCTTGCCGGCCCAGTTGCGGTCTCTCTGGCAGACCCTTCTGGGGGTCCTGTCCTTGCTCACTTCTCCACTATCCTCCCGTGTCCGGCGGCCCCCTCTGGCACCCTGTCTGGTCTTTACCTCCCCTCGTTCTCTACGAACTTGGTGAGTGGTGCTGACCTACAGGATGCGGGGGTTTCACCAGTTCACTCCTGCGAGTCAGCGGGTGACCCACTGCACGGACGCTCGGACTGGCCGACACCTGGCCACGTTTACCCGTCGGCCGGGGTCGAGCCTGTACACCCTGACCACTGTGTGTCTCCTCCACTCACTGCGTCTGGTCAGGTAGCTGCGTCGGGGCAGGTGTTTGCTGCAGCGTCCAGGTCTGGTCTGAGTCTGCCCCCTGTTCGTGTCGCCTCCTGTCTCACGAGACTCTCCTCTGGCACCACGCCTTGGTCACCCCTCCCTGCTTCGTCTCCGAGGCATGGCCTCCCGTGTCCTTGTCTCTGGTCTTCCCCGGTCCTCCCTCCCTTCCTCCGGGGCCTGGCCCTACCTGCGTCCCCTGTGTCGAGGGGCGGCAGCGGGCTGCCCCTCACTCCTCCCAGTTTCCTCCGACAGAGGCCCCGCTGCAGACGCTTCACATGGACGTGTGGGGCCCCGGCCCCGCGTCCGTGGACAGGGTCACGAGCGCTACTTCCTGCTGGTGGTTGACGACTACTCGCGTTACACCCACAGTCTTCCCCTTGCGCAGCAAGGGTGATGTCACTGAGGTGTTGATCGACTGATCCGCGCAGCTCGTCTCCAGCTCAGGCAGAGCTTCGGCTCGGACTTTCCTGTTCTGCGTCTGCACTCTGACAGAGGTGGAGAGTTCTCCTCTGGCCTTCTGCGAGCCTACTGTCGTGCACGAGGCATCCGCCAGACCTTCACGCTTCCGGACTCTCCACAGCAAAATGGGATTGCTGAGCGCCGCATTGGCATGGTCATGGACGTCGCCCGTACGTCCATGATGCATGCGGCTGCCCCCCATTTTCTGTGGCCGTTTGCGGTTCGATACGCGGCGCATCAGATCAACCTTCACCCCAGGGTCTCCAGGCCGGAGACCTCCCCAGCTTTGCTGTGGACGGGGAAGGTTGGCGATGCGTCTGCGTTCCGTGTCGGGGATCTCGGGCGTTTGTCCGCGACTTGTCTGCGGACAAGCTGTCCCCTCGTGCTGCTCCTTGCGTCTTCCTTGGCTTCCCCCTTGACGCGCCAGGGTGGCAGTTCTACCACCCCACCTCTCGCCGTGTTCTGTCCTCCCAGGACGTCACGTTTGACGAGTCGGTCCCCTACTACCGCCTCTTCCCCTACCGCACTCCGTCCCTCCCCCGGCCACCGCTCTTCCTTGGCCAGGTCCCCCCCCGGTAGACCCCCTCCCCCCTCAGGGTCCTTGCCCTTCAGGTGTGTCCCAGGTAGACGCAGTCGAGCCTGTCGAGGTTACTGGTGACTCTGGTGCTGCTGAGGGTGCTGAGCCTGGGGGTGCTGACTCTGGGGGTGCTGAGCGTGTGGGTGCTACGCCTGGGGGTGCTGAGCCTGAGGGTGCTACTACTGGGGGTGCTGAGCGCTGGGGGTGCTGAGCCTGGGGGTGCTACTACTGGGGTTGCTGAGCCTGGGGGTGCTGAGCCTGGGGGTGCTGAGCCTGGGGGTGCTACGCCTGGAGGTGCTGAGCCTGGGGGTGCGGAGCCTGAGGGAGCTGGGGCCTGCTTGTGTGGCTCTGGCGGTGCTGAGCCTGGAGGTTCTCCGGGTGCTTCGTCTCGGCGGGAGCCACTCTCTCCACAGGAGCTGCGCGAGTGTTTGCCCGGCGCTGGAGGCGTGCTGCTGGAGCTGGAGGTTCTTCGGCTACTGAGGGTGCTGGTGCCGCGGGTCCCGGAGGTGCTCGTACTGGAGTACTGGAGCTGCTGGGCCTGCGGGTACGACTGGAGCTGGAGCTGCTGAGGGTGTTGACGCTGAGGCTACTGCTGTCGGTCCTGGAGGCGGTCCTGCTGGGGGTGCTACTGGTGCTGCTGGAGGTTCTGGAGCTGGAGGTGCTGCTGGCGCTGGTGCTGCCGCTGGGGGTACTGGTGCTGTCCCTGCTGTGTCTGGAGTCGCCCACGGCCTAGGCCGTACTTCGTTCGCTCCTTCAGCAGGTTCTTGTCTCCCGCCTTCTACTACTGTTCCTCCTCCTCCTTAGAGTGTCCACAGCCTGTCCCGTCACTGTTACAGTTACAGCCGGCCTCCCCACTGCCCGCTCCTTCTCCCTACACTGGTCCTACTGGAGGTCTTGCTGAGCGTCGTGAGCCTGCGTCTCGCCCTGCGTCGCCGTCCTGTGCTGCTCGCACTAGTGGTCGTGGTTGCGCGTCCGCGTCCTCCTCCTGTCCCTGGCACGCACCGGATGTCTCTGCGTCCGTCCACTGCTCCTCTGCGTGCCCCTTTGCCTTCTCCTCCTGAGTCCTCTCTTCCTGCTCTTCCTGACCCGGAGTCGGACTCTCTTCGTGCTGCCAGTCCTACTGTCACGCGTCTCCTTGCTACTGTTGTCACTGACCCTTCCTTTGAGTCCACTGCTGCGTCTGCCCTAGTTACTGAGCTCGTCGACTTTGCTGCTCGCTGTCGTCTAGACTACGCTGCTAGTCTTGTTACTGAGTCTGAGTCTGTCTGTCCTCCGTCCGTCGGGGGTGAGTGTGCCCTTGCACGGACGTCCTTGAGGACAGGCAGGAGGAGTTCCAGTGTTTGGCTGCTGCTTCACCTCATCTCGTGTCCGTACTGCTTACCCCTGAGGGAGACCCGGATGCACTTGACATCCCGACTCCAGCGCTCTTACGCGGAGGCGATAGAGGGTCCCTACTCCTCTCAGTGCAGGCAGCTATGGACGCAGAGATGGCTTCCTGGAAGTCCACAGGCACCTACGTTGACGAGGTTCCCCCGCCGGGGGCGAACATCGTCAGTGGCATGTGGATTTTCAGGGTGAAGCGGCCGCCGGGTTCTCCGCCTGTCTTCAAGGCGCGTTACGTGGCTCGTGGCTTCAGTCAGCGGCAGGGAGCTGACTACTTTCAGACCTTCTCTCCCACCCCGAAGATGACCACTCTTCGGGTACTGCTGCACATAGCTGCTCACCGCGACTACGAGCTGCACTCTCTTGACTTCAGCACTGCTTTCTGGCAGGGCAGCCTGCACGAGGAGATCTGGTTGCGTCGCCCACCTGGCTTCACTGGGTCTTTTCCTCCTGGCACCCAGTGGAGCCTCCGGCGGCCAGTCTACGGTCTCCGCCAGGCACCGCGTGAGTGGCACGACACACTGAGGACTACACTTGCGGCTCTGGGTTTGCTCCCTCTACTGCCGACCCGTCGCTGTTTCTGCGCACCGACACTTCTTTGCCGCCGTTCTACATCCTCGTGTACGTCGCGACTTGGTCTTTGCCACAGCTGACACTGCGCTGGACTCGCCCACGTGAAGTCCGAGCTGCAGAAGAGACACACGTGCACAGATCTGGGTGAACTGCGCAGCTACCTTGGCTTGCAGATCACCCGGACAGAGCACGCGCACCATTACCCTGACTCAGTCACACATGGTGCAGTAGGTCCTTCAGCGCTTCGCTTCACGGCTTCACTCCTCGCCTCAGGGCCACTCCTCTGCCTACTCGCCACTCGCTCTCAGCTCTGCCTTCGGATGAGTCCGTAGAGTCGAGTGGCCCGTACCCAGGGCTGTTGGCTGCCTCAGTACCTGATGACCTGCACACGACCTGACCTTGCATACCCTCTTAGCATTCTCGCACGCTATGTTGCTCCTGGGAGACACAGACCGGAGCACATGGCTGCAGCGAAGGGGTGTTGCGCTACTTGTGCAGTACGTCGGGCATGGGGCTTTGCTTGGAGGGCAGAGTCCAGTGGTCCTCACTGGGCACGCAGACGCTTCTTGGGCTGACGACCAGGCTACGCAGCGGTCGTCACAGGGTTAGACCTTCAGCCTTGGTTCCGGCTCTGTTTCGTGGCGGGCTACCCGCTCGTCTTCTGTTCTCGGCTCCAGTTGTGAGGCTGAGATCTACGCCGGGGCCATGGCTGCACAGGAGCTTCGCTGGCTCCCTACCTGCTGACTGACCTCGGAGAGCCGCCTCGTTCTCCTCCAGTGCTGTACGTAGACAAAAGGCCATGCGGCCTTGTGTCGAGAGCAGAGACTGGAGCACAGAACGAAGCACATTGCTCTCCGTTACTTCCTTGCTCGTGAGCTACAGCAGCGTGGTCAGCTGCGACTTGCGTACGTGGCCTCTCAGGCCAACACTGCTGATATCTTCACCAAGGCACTTGCGCCTTGTGATCATCAGCGCTTCTGTACTCAGCTGGGTCTTGTGCCTACCTTGCCTCACTTGCTCACCCCTTGACCTTGTTTGTACTGTTGCATATAATATACACCTGCTCTTGCTTGTCTAGCCTTATATATATATGTAATCCTGCATGTGAAACTGGCCTTTGTGGCCTTGAATTTGTGCTCG